TCCAGAATATATTTATTCTTTAGATTGGAGGAAGTTTTCTTTTTAGATAATAATAGTTTAGTGATACAAGTCCTACTAATTAACCCTTAGCTGGGGGAAGAAATGGATTCATACCTTTTTCAACAGTATTTGGCGTAAATGAATATAACCAACCCAAAGGGAATTAGAACTCGATTCTCCGATTAACAATTCTGAGGCATTATTCACATCAACATCGCATAAAAGTGGTCACCTATTTAGCTCCTGACCAGGCTTGACGTTGCTTAACTTCGGTGATCGTACTGGAACCTGTGTTTCAACTTGATATGGTTGTAAGCCAACAATGTGCGTGATATGGAATAAGTTATTCAAACTAATGTCAAGATCAGACCAGGTTTTCATATAATTCTATAAAGAAATATGTGTACACGATGTTAAAGAATTCGGTTCTTTTATGTTGTAAAAGACGTTTGTCGAACCTGAAGACGAAAATTAAACTTTTAATTTCAGAAATTAACTTAGAAATATCGGCAGTTGATCATCATGAAGAAAGTATGTTTCTCTTTCCTGACTAAATACACCTTTAGTGATTGGATTCACCAGCAACATTGTCTCACATAAAAAGTTCCGAATCTGGTCCGAATTGCGGTCTTAAAAATCACAGCTGTCGTAAACTTGCGTCATGGATCAACATTAGAATCTTCTGACCTGACAGTTCAACTACAAGTCGAGACCAAGTGGGAGACATAAATCTTTATTTGAACGTCTCTTCTTTTGCAACCAACTTGGTTGAAAATGTATATTTATACGCACAATAACAAGAGCATTCTGTCAAGACAGAGATGTCAAAATATGGTGAGCGATTATAGTGTTATGTAAAAAGTAGTAGACAACTCTATTTCCAAACAAGAACTTTTACTTACAATCATCGAAAGATACATGACAAAAGTAGATAGACATGTCTGTTTTATTCGGCAATGAGCAAATTTTAATCAATCTTCTCATTCAGATACAGATGGACAAATTTCTGGACAGAACAGTTTAGTTATCCTGAAAGACAAGGTAATAAGAAATACGATATTTATTCTCAGTAATAGCTTAAAAGCCACCCTATCAGACAACATATAAGCTAGCTGCTTCTGTGGGCTCTTGATTAGGCCTTCGCTTTGTTCAGGAGTTTGAGACTCCTTAACTCTTTGTATATTCTCAGCACTGGAAGTTCTGCTGACTGCCGTTTTATCTAGCTTTCTTTTCCTCGTTCTTTTGACAGCAATCTGGTCCAATGTTCACGTCTTATGTTTTAAACGTTCAACGATAATTCTTCTGCTGCCACTTGATTTAAATACAATTTCATGTCCTTACTTTACGTCCTTACTTTCAACTACTTTTATTTCATGGATGACTTACGCTGGATATTGCAATTAATTTCTATTATTCCTAAATTTATTTCCAAGTTACAAAAAATGTTATCGTATAAAAAAATTCGTCACAAAAAATCACATAAAAATCGCCGAAAGCAATCGCAGTAATAAAAACTGGGAATTCAAAAGTTCTGTAACATGAGCTACTGAAAGTTAGAGAGTTGTGTCCCTTTAATTGAAAAGATGTGAGGCAGAACAACAATGTCATTAGAATTTATTTTATATATATATATATATATATATATATATATATATATATATATATTTTGAGATGAAGTGTCCGGACTGTTGTCCTCAATAACACATGGTCCACTGGATAAAAAGCGTTTGTTAGATTCAGTGACTTGACCCTAAGAGTTGTGAGTTTAATACCTGGCTACGGGTGAACAAAAACTTGGAAACTTGAGTTAGAAGGAAATAACTGAGACGGAAGAGGCATGGTATGTAGAACTAGAACAATCTACCCGGTGGATGAAATAGAGGGATCAGTTCGAAATTCCAAGAGGCCGAAGCTTACAAGATTCGAACAACAGTCCTAACAATGTAAATAATTACACACACACTTTGACTGAAAAAGTGTGACACACTGACATTCGCATTTATTATATAGATGAAAGTGATACAAGGGCCGAATACCTATGTTTCCTAGAATACACAAAGATATTTTATAAGGTACGTCTCAAAGATCTATTTGAACTGCCACGGAAAGAAATTATTTGGGGAAAGTTAATAGAATAATACAGAATGTATATTAACATAAAATCGCCTGAATATGGATAAAAAATAGAAAGGATTATAAGATAAACGTGTTTCTAATTCTATTTAGATTATCTATCCCTTTCTGCTATAAATCAGCACGGTTGATACTAACAACGAGAAGAGTGACTCATTGCACCTGCCATGATGGATGATAGAAAGAGTTACCTCAGATGATTAATAAAGAGCAGTTTTATGATAATGATAATAATAAGAGAAAGGCTCATTAAATCACGTGACAATGTTAAAATGTATTATGGAGGGATTTGAGTTATCTGAGTACACATTCTGCTATTGGCGGAGAGAAATCCTGGTAAGGTTTCTACTTCACTTTGGATTCTCTATTATTTTCTGTCATCTATCAGCATGGCAGATTTGTGCCACATCTAAGGCTGTGCTTAGAAAACCGTTGAGCATCCTGGCGTGGTGTAATGGTTAGCAAGCTTGTCTCGCTATATCACTTACGACTGAAAAGTGAGTTCGATCCTCACCGGGTGCCCCATACTTTCGGCCTTGTGCCACATCTAAGCTAGCTTAGAAAATTATTTTGTTGGGTACCTTGAGATGGTGTAATGGTTAGCAAGCTTGTCTCGCTAGAACAGTTACGGCTGAGTAGTGAGTTCAAACCTCACTGGGTGCCCTTTACTTTCGGCCTTGTGCCACATACAAGCTACGCTTGGAAAATCACTATCTTTTGTAGTTTCTGTGGAATAAAATAAGAGGCATTTATTTAGCAATTTCAGGGCACTCCCAGTCACATATCTATCTATCTATCTATCTATCTATCTATCTATCTATGTGTGTCATGTGACGGTCTCGAGAAACCTTGAAACTATCTATCTCTATTAAACATCTGAGAGATCTCTTTCTGTGTTATGGTCCAGGTTAGGACCAAGGAAGAACAACACGAACACAAGAGTAGAAATAACGAATAATAATAATACAAAATGTGGAGGGTGTTAGTATGACTGTCAGTCTGGTTTGGAGTGAACTACTATTGGCTCGACTCGATTCGGTATCTAGCCCCCCCCCCCGCCCGAGGGTTGCATGTGGCACAAGCCCGAGTTTAACGTGGGTTTCCCGAGTCCGTAGGTTCGGCCAAAAAATGCCAGTAGAATCCGTATAAACGGGATCGAGTTGGTCAGCCTCCCCGAACGAGACTCTGCCCTTCAGCGGAGCCTCATCCGGGTTCCTCTCTGCTCAGAGGCAGAAAGTTCGACCGTTGAGCCGAGAAGCTCGGCTCGATTCGTCCCTCTCTCTTGAGAGGCGTAGTATACATAGTGTTAGGAAGAGTTCATTCTGTAGTTATAAGTAAGGACCCATGACATTCTGCCTTCCATCAGCATGGCTGGTTCTAACCTCCATTAGAGTGTCTCTTTGTGCCTTTTCGGGCTAACATCCTCAACTGAGATGATGTGGAAATATTATACTGAATTTATTGTTAGGTATGCTAATGTTATGGCGTGGTAGACAATTTTTTATCACCAGAATCTATCGTACATATCTATAAATCTACCACTCGGTTCTTGATTTGAATATTTCTGCCACATATAGTCCGGTGCTCCTGCTATATATTTAGACATTCTTGGTAAAATGCAAAGACGAATCAGCAGAATTATTGCTCCTGCCCTGAAGTCTCGGCTTCAGTCACTTTTCCACCGCCGTAATGTAACTTTCATGTACTTTCAAGGTAATTGTTCCGATAAGCTCTTTGCTATTATACCTGGACTTTATGAATTTATGCGAAGTACTAGATTGGCGGTTAGGTCTCATCATTTTACAGTTGAAATGGCTAGATGTAACCGTCAGTCATTTGTTAACTGTGTCTTTCTTTGCATTTCTTGCTTGTGGAACTCTCTTCTGGTTTGTTGCTTTCCAGCCAACTTTAATCTTAATTAAAGACATAGACGCAATTTGTATCGTGATCTTCTTAAAACCTGATCTTTTATTGATCTCGGCTTAATAATGGTTACTTTTTATCATATTCTCTCACATTAAGTAACCCCTTGCGTCTTAGTGGCATTGTTACATTACTTGAGTGAATTAGTTGAATAAACTGTGACAGCGTGTATATATATATATATATATATATATATATATTGACATATGTGTGCACCTAAATATTTCTAACTCAGTTAAATTCTCTTGGAAATTCGACAAAAAACGTGAATAGATACGCAGTAATCATGGCGGGTAGGAAGATCATCAGTACGACAGGAAGTGTCGCTATTTGTCTTTGTTGAATTATTTCGTTTACCCACTTTTGTCTATATCTACAAATTATGCGCAGTACTAGATTGGCGGTTAGGTTTCATCATTTTACAGTTGAATTGACTGAGATGTAACCGTAAGTTCTATGATAATAGTTTCTTTTCCAACACTTCTCGCCTGTGGAACTCTCTTCTGACTTTTTGCTTTCCATTCAACTTCGATCTTCATAAATTTAAATGCAATGCCAAGCTTGGGGTTAAATCGATAAAGAAATCAGTTACCAAAAACGGTACTTTTATTTCTGTCGGGTCCACATCATAAAACCACAACGAAACATGCATTCACATGATCAACCCTTCCGGCAGGGTTCATTTGAAATAGTCCTGTGGTTTGCCGAGCCTTTCTCTACCATGCTGACCAGTGGCATCTTGGAAAGAACGGAAAGAACCCATACCTGTAACAATGATTTTCCCAGATACAAGTCCTACTACTTAACACATAGCGGGAGGGGAGAAGTAGAAGTTATGTGCATTTGCCAACGGTATTTGCACATAAGTGAATGTAAATCGAACTCAACTGGAATTCGAACACGGCTATCTGATTTCTCCTTACATCACGTGCACATGTCCAAGCTTTCAACACCTGCCATTCCCAAGCGGTCACTCACCTAAGTGCTGATTAGGCTCTAAGTTGCTTAACTTCGGTGATCGAGAGAGAACCAGTGTTTTGACGTGTTGATGGTAGATAATGAAAAAAAAACTGCAAGAAGTCCCAGGCATGATAGTATAGGAAAGCTGGAAGAAAGGACTATTCATCAATTGTAAGAAGACAGCATGCATTTTTGTGCGCAAATAGGGCAAATGTCGAGCTACGGGTTTGCGATGTCAAAATCAAGCAATAGGAGAATTTACAAAGATACCTGGGAAGTGTTTTAACAGGATGAAAAATATGGCACCAAAATCCAAAGGCGCATTGGAATAGCAAAACGTGCCTTCCAAAAACTAGGAAAATCTTCGTTTGAAATAAATAAATGGATAATGAACTGCTATACAATATGAGACCTATAACATGTCATCAATGCGGGTCAATCTCTGTTCACAGAGCAAGAGGAATCTTGAGGCAACAGATTGTGGTTCTACAGAAAGATGCTCAAAATGGAAACATAAGTCATATTTTTTTCCTGAACGTTCGTCTAGAACGACCGTTTTCATCACATACATATTGAGAGTGAATCTGATTTTGCTGTAAGCCATGCCGATCCACCTAACATGAGAATAGATTTTTGTTCAAATAGTTATCAGTAGCTATTCAGAGATATTTCTCCAGCAGAATCATTCTGAGTTGGTATTCCCCACACCGTGTATTAAATGGCCTCCACATCATATCATCATTGTTGCTAGTGGGATGCAGATGATTTATACAACGGTCGACATCATTTTTATGTTTGTAATAGAAGACAGCGATCAAACAGCGGCGGTTATTTAAATATCTCAAGCGCCTATCATTTTTCCACTGAATACATTATTATTGAAAAGTGGCTTTCCTCTGCCTGCTCTGCCATAATAATGAAAGTGATGAGAAAATAAAAACGTCATCTTGCTTTGATCTTGATAAGAGTATATTGATAAAAATTGAAGAAAAAACGTTAAAAACACGAAACAGCTGCATTACTTACAAAAATATACTATTTATAAATTATACGAATCACCTACAAAACAGGTTTGTAATTAATCAATATTCGATTAACAAAATATTTTATTCAGGACTGGGTACAGTTTGACTAGTATTATGTTGATGGTAGTAAATGACTTTCTTCAGGAGAACAAATTTTTCACCAAATAAAGCGGGTGTATTCCAAAGATATGACATTTCGGCAGTGCAACGAAATCGAGGGTCCCCTAAAAATATCTGCTGACATTAAGATGAAAACACTTTGATATTATACGTCGTGTATGGCCTTGCTAAACTTCATCAGAAAGAAAAGACTTGTACAAAATTTGGCATTTAACCTCTGAAACTGTCAATCGTTATATATATATATATATATATATATATATATATATATATATATATATATATATATATATACACACAGGGTGGCAATAAAGTCAATATACATTTACAATAACAATTAAGACAAAAGAATTAATCAATAGTCCAGAAATTTATTATTAAAATGGTTCTGGTTAATTCTGGTTAATAATAAAATGCGTTGATAAACAATACTAAATTAATTACCGATATTGTTCGAACAGCAAGCCACCGGTTTCAAATCATTCACTGCAACATGAGAGAAGTGTATAGCAACTTTATTGCCACCCCGTAAACTTTGGGGCGGGTTCTTCACACCAAACCAAGGACAAAGGTCCATATAAACATTTTATACGTCGTATATGGCCTTGCTAAACTTCATTAGATAGAAAAGATTTGTACAAGATTTGGCATTTAACACGTGAACCTTCATAAATGGTAATCGTTATAAATATATCTATCTATCTATCTATCTATCTATCTATATATATATATATATATATACATATATATATATATATCTATATATATGTGTGTGTGTGTGTGTGTGTGTGTGTGTGTGCACAGTAAAGGAAATAAACCACCACGGTAAAATCTCAATTTCGTCTTAACTATGAAGCTGTAAATATTCAACAATGTAATTTCAGAAGTAGTATCTCTCGAAATCTGTATTGCAAGTTGTATTCATGCGAACGTAGAACAAGAAGAGATACCCAAGAGAAGTCACCTAACATTGCTCAAGATTAACAGAATTGAAGATTGAGGTAAGTATGAAACTTATGTTTAATGATCGCATAAAGTCAGGATCTTTTAACTTATGTTTTCAGTGTAGCTGATTCAAGTTTCAAAATGGTCCGAATGAATTTAATGAAAACCATCGAAATGTCACAGAGAATATGTCAACGTGAAATCAGCAAGGAACTTGGAATATCAATGCATGATGGCCTAGTCAATCAGAAGAAAAATATTGATGTTGGTGCATTATTGTTCATATAAAAACGGTTATTCCTTTAAAATTAGACAAAAGAAATCAAAGAAGGTTAATGATATTATTCGTAACCAACCCCCAAAATAATCAGCTCCTCAAGTAATGAATGAATACAACAATATTATTACTGGAGTGTTAATCCATGGAGTAAGAATACTACAGAAAAAATCCATCATTAACCAAAATACATTGAATAAAATGAAAACAGTGAACAATGTTATATGATAATGAAAAATGAGAAAAAGTGACAAAAGCAAAATTGAACTGAATTCTAATACAAGTGAGTATGCAGGAAGACCAATTGTCACAAGAAACAATAAAAATATATACTATTTGAAAAGTTTATCTTTTTAATGTAGTGTGTTTAACATTTGGTTATAGCTTTGAAATTAGATAAAATATTGTTTTGATCATCTGAAAGTTTTTTTTTTTAAACTGTGAAGTGAAAAAGACTTTTCATAACTTAGTTTCTTTCCCTGACCTTTACATCGTGAAATTTAAATCGTAATGTGGATAACCTTAACGTTTTTAATTTCACAGTTAAAAAATTAACGTTCAGATGATCACAAAATTTTTGTCTTAGGAAAATAAACAGCCTGATCCTGTCATTGTGCTAATGTCGAAAGTACTCATAATAAATGAATATGCAACAACATGGTAATGTTCTGTGTTTTTTTTTGTTTTTTTTTCTTGTTTTTTTTTTAATAAGGATACTAAGAAGCTTGTCCATGGATATGAGAGGATCCTATTGAAAATTAGTAGACAAAATTTGTCTAAATTAATAATAAGACATGTCATAATATATATATATATATATATATATATATATATATATATATATAGTCTTAAGGTGTGCTATATTTATGGGATAAAGTGCTCAATAACCGAACATTGAAGTCAACACTTAGAAGCTAAGTGTTGGCTTCAATTATTTTACATTGCGACAAGCAATTTCTATGTTTCGAGACTTAGTTCTTCTCGTCATCGGTTAATGTTCTGTTACATTAGTGATTTGGTTTTAATTCATTCATTTATCTCTCTCTCTCTCTCTCCCTCTCTCTCTCAGACACACACACACACATATATATATATATATATATATATATATATATATATACATGATAAATGAATAAATTCAATAATATATATATATATATATATATATATATATATATATATATATATATGATGAATGTATGAATTCAGTATCACATATATATATTTATATTTATACATTATTTTTTTATAGATACAAATATTTAAGTAAATGCTCTGTTTATGATAAATAGTATTAAACAACATTTACCGGCTTGAATGTCCGAGGAATTTTCATAGAAACAGGAATCGAACCAGTATCCTAAATGTGCCTTTAACCGACTAGGCCACAGAGGAGCCTTCGGTTAGCAAGGTCGATTTTCACTGTCTTTAAACTACAATCTTCAGGCTATATGACAGTTCCGTATAGGATACAGGTTCGATTCCTGTCGGAGGACGGATATTTTCTATGAAAATTTCTAGGACATTCAGGCCGGTAAATGTTGTTTAATACAGTTTATTATAAACAGAGCATTTACTTAAATATTTGTATCTATAAAAAGAATGTATAAACATGAAAATGTCTTAAAAATAATTGTCGGACTTTTTCCATTTCATAATATATATATATATATATATATATATATATATATATATAGATAGATATATATATATATATGAATGAATTCAAAACCAATTCAGTTATTATTATTGTTATAAGCAGTTTATACAGAAACATCACTCGATATTAAAAGATTCACATAAGTAGGGTAAAGCCGGATATAGCCCACATGACAATTAACAGATAGAAGTTCCAAGCTGAAGTCTAGAAGTATGGAGTACATTAAACGAATACTCATTCAAAATGGCCAAGAAAAGTAATTTGTTAACTATTATCGGAAATATAGGCGCTCTATTCAAATCTGGAACTTGGTAAGAACCAACCAGAGAAGGTCGTATTCATTTTACAAAATGTTGAGAATCCAAGCTTGCTGTGTACTTATAAATATCCATTGGCACTTTCCATTCTTCAATCAAAGGTCTTCTATTTATACCCCACTCCTGAAGGACTTTGGCAACTATGATTGTTAATATTTTATTGGTGGAAGTTATTTTTGACCCTTTATTATTTCTCTTTTTTCATTGGCAATGCATTTAGACAAACCCATTAATTTGTGTTGTGGTACGATCCACCTAATTTACATAGTGGAGTACCGACCATATAAATATGGTTGGTACCGGGAAGACGGGGGAGGAAGAAGAGATCCAATCCAGAGACTCTGCTCGACTGCGTCTAAGTCAACCCATTCTACAGGAACGGTCTTCCCAAGAATATACCAAACTATCTGTAAATATTGTGTACACGTTCTTGTGTCAATACATTTTGTTTAAGTACATTTTGTGTTGTATTATTATTCCATGCTTTATTCAAGTTTCAACAATGACGACGAGGATGAGATACACTTCCGGAGAGAAGGTGTTTTTCAAGTGCTACAAAAACAACGTTGAGTTCTGGGAGCGAGGCATAGTGCACAAGAGAATCGGTGACCTGATTTACATAATTAAAGGGCCGAAGAATACTCATAAAAGGCACCAGAATCAACTTAAAAAATATTACGGTATAGAGCATGAAGAGAGTATACCGGATGAGGACGAAGATCCCATTGATATAATGT